AGTTTCTTTTAAGGATATTTTTGTAGGCCACTTAATGTCCCTCCTTTTTTGTCTCTTTAACTTCCCTTTATTTCCAGTTTCCTCAACCTAAACATGTCTTGTTAGTTGCGAAGTCGTGTCCGACCCATCGTGACCCCATGGACAACATTCCTCCAGGCCTTCCTGTCCTCTACCATCCTCTGGAGTCCATTTAAACTCACGCCTACTGCTTCAGTGACTCCATCCAGCCACCTCATTCTCTGTCGTCACATTCTTCTTTTGCCTTCAATCTTTCTCAGCATTAAGTTCTTCTCCAGTGAGTCTTCCTTCTTCCTTCTCATTAGGTGGCCAAAGTATTTGAATTTCGTCTTCAGGATCTGGCCTTCTAAAGAACAGTCAGAGTTGATTGGACTGACCGGTTTGCCAGCCTAACATTGTCTCACAATTGCCAATCCTGCCATTCTGCTCCTATTCCAATTCATTGTTAAAAGATGCTGGCTTGATTTTTCACAAGTAGCACAAGACTGATACATTCTTCCAGCTTTGCTTCTGCATGTCACCAACATCTGGGAGAAATATCTGCAGCAGGAATAGGGTGGGTCTAGCAGCTAGGCTATCTATTTCACCATCAGCTATAATAGTGATCTAGCAATACACAATTTGTTTTATTTTTCAGAAACAAAGAAATGCATTAAAGATGCCTATGTATTATCTGTAGAGAAGTAGAAAGGCCTTATGGTTTTGTGAATGTTCCTGTCCATATTATAGTGAAGTTTAATATGGACAAGTACTAAAATTTTGGGTCAGTCCTGGAATTCACTTCTAAGCTCTATTTGGAACATTCATAACAGGGGTGGAATCCAGCAGGTTCTGACAGATTCTGGAGAACCGGTAGCAGAAATTTTGAGTAGTTTGGAGAACCAGCAAATGCCACCTCTGGCTGGCCCCAGAGTGGTGTGGGAATGGAGATTTTGCAATATCCTTCCTCCAGGAGTGGGGAGGGAATGGGGATTTTGCAGTATCCTTCCCCTGGAATGGGGTGGGAATGGAGATTTTGCAGTATCCTTTCCCTGCCATGCCCACCAAGCCACACCCACCAAGCCACACCACGCCCACCAAGCAACGCCCATAGTAAAAAAAATTGAATTTCACGACTGATTCATAATATCATTCTGCTCCACTACACAGTCTTCTCCAACATGATATCCATACGATATACTGATACTACAACACTCCCAGAACTCCCAGCCAGTTTGGGGAAGGTCACATCACAGGAGCAGCATTTTCTATGTCATTATCATCTCTTTTCAATGACCCCATAATCCCTTGTGGGGTGGAGTCTGGGCAACTGAATGGAGTTGAGTGTTTACTGGCTGGATGCCCTTCCTATCGCCAATGTGGAGTTATATTCAGCAGATATATTCTCATCATGCCCAGAGAGAAATATCTAGTTCTACCTAGGATCGAACCCACAGCCTCCTGATTGTGAGGCGAGAGCTCCACCTCTAGGCCACTGCATCACTCATTTTCTATGTCATTATAAAATGGTTAAATTATATCCTAATTAATAATGAAGAAAGTTTTGCACGGGACTTGTTTTGCTAATGAATAAACCCAGAAGGTCTACTCACTTGTAGAATAAAGGAGAAGGGACATTTTGGATTAATGTATCCAAATCAAGAATGGAGGATTCTAAGTTCTAACACCTCTGATTATAAATTAACTACCATCCAGTGGTGGGTTTCAAAAATGTTTTACTACCGGTTCTGTGGGTGTGGCCTGGTGGGCATGGCAGGGGAAGGATACTGTAAAATCTCCATTCCCTCCCCAATCCAGGGGAAGGTTATTGCAAAATCCCCATTTCCTCCCGATCAACTGGGACTTGGGAGGCAGAGAATAGATGGGGCGGGGCCAGTCAGAATTTTTATTACCAGTTCTCCGAATTACTCAAAATTTCTGGTACTGGTTCTTCAGAACTGCTCAGAACCTGCTGAAACCCACCTCTGCTACCATCTAACAGCTGGTGAAAAATATCAGCTACTGACTGTTAACTAACTACATACATAAATTTGTTCTTATAATCTACACATTTGGCTCTCTATATTCATATAATTTAGTGGAATGGAATTCTTCTTAGCGTGGTGTTGGAACAAACAAATTTTGCAGGAAATGCATTGTTACTAGCATTCTGTTGTGCAGACTGAGCCTATTTATTTTTGCACTGATGACTGAAGACAACACTTGGGTCAGTTTCTCATTAGTGATTTCTACTCTCTTTTATGTCATCCAAACATCATTGTACTGATATAACAGTAATGAGGACAGGTTTTGTACTATCTCAGTGATGGTTAGATGATGTCATAAAGATGCTTTAGCTTTCTAATGAAGAAGAGCAGAAAGTGTAGCATAAGGCAAAAACAAATGGTGGAACAGAATGTATCACTTTAAATTGCAAATAAAGATGATGTTATTCATGAAGGTTTCTTTACATAAAATTCTGGAGCTCCTTAAACAGAAAGCTAGTATAATATGCTGGGACAAAATCTTTCAGCGTCCCACTCATTTTTATTATTTTTTTAACTTACAAAGGATTTGGAGGTAAAGGTTAAAATCTTCCCTCCCGTTTCTAAGAGGATTCCCACCAATTGATTGAAATGGTATAATTAATTTTCTGCTATTTTCTTCTGCAAGATGTGTTCATCTGGCATCTGACAGAGGAGCTTACTGCTATAAAATTCCCACTAAAATCATACAAACACATTGAAAGCAAACATTACAATATCTGTCTGAGAATTCTAAAAAACACAAATGTGGAGATGATGTTTTCCTAAGGCCAATTTCTATAACATTAGAAACATTATACAATTCCAGTTTATTAAAAAAAAAAGGGGGGGGGGCAAAAAGGAAGTTACTGGTTTACAGTCTCTTCTAGATAATTGCTGCAAAAGTTAATAAAGACCACATATCTGTCAAGGACAGATCTTAAGGATTGATACGGCTTCTGCAAAGAAAGTTTGCAAACATAATATTTAATAAAGTTCTATTTCATCAAGACTATCAAAAGCATGTAGACTAAAGATTTTGCAATTATTAATCTGGATTTTCAAAAGACCATCTTTTCAAAAACTGGATTTTCAAAAGAGCAAAAAAAAAAAAAACCCTACAATTACCATATAGCATAGAAATTGAAGTCCTCTATTATAGGGGTCTCCAACCTTGGCAACTTTACAACTTGTGGACTTCAACTTCCAGAATTCCTCAGTCAGCACATGCTGGCTGAGGAATTCTGGGAGTTGAAGTCCATATGCGCTGGCTGAGGAATTCTGGGAGTTGAAGTCCACATGCGCTGGCTCAGGAATTCTAGGAGTTGAAGCCCACAAGCCGTAAAGTGGTCAATATTTACCTGAAGAACATATATAAGTGGAAGGGTTAAAAAGTAATAACCCCTTCGTGCTCTGTTAGAACTAGAAATCGTTAATTATTTCATATATGATGTACAGTGAATGACAAGAAGTGGTCCAGATTTGTTCAGGAAGATTAAAATGAAACTGAAGACTAAAGATTATTTAAGAAGATTTCATCAAACTGATGGAACAGACATCCCTCTCAACCCTAGTTATGAGTAAAAAGGTCAAAGTAGTGTTTTGTTTTCATTTACAGTACGATGAACAGAGTATAAATGCAAAATACCTATAACTTTATTTAATTAAATTTATTAGGAAACTTAAATTGGGTAATAAACAGCTGTTAAAACCTTTGTTGTGCAGTTAATATATTTAAACCAGCGGATGAAAAAGTGATGTATTTTTTCCTCACATATTCATTTTTAATAAATAAGTTTTTTAAGGTGTTATATTGGGGTTTGCTTGTTTGCTTGCTTTATTCCTTTGCTTTTACTTTTGTTGTTACTTCTGACTGTATTGGGGTCATTGGAAGAAAACTAAGTCAGCTGTCTAAGAAATAAATCTTGACACTGTGGTTTATGACTTGATGAAACTGTTTATTGGGTGTGATTACTGTACAAAACACAGCTTCCATGTTGGAAGTTCTTAAGACAGGAATCAAAAATGGAATGTCTTTATAAAAGTATATAGTGCAATGTTTAAAATATTATTTTAAACTGGTTGCTGCCTCTCAAACAATTGTATTATCTTATATTATGCAGCTGGAAAAGGCTGCATAATCAAAATGATGAAGAAAATATGAGCAATGATTTGGGAGCAATGAGCCGAATTCTCCCCCAAAAAACATGATTTGGGAGACATTTTACATTAGGGGGGGAAAAAACACCCTTGAATAAGATGAGGGGTGATATTTGATTATTAAATTACATATTAATTGGGATTTTTTCCCCCTCTCCAGCTGGGACAAAGAGGTGCCAAAATAAAATTAAGAAAATTATCACTTATTCCGTAGCAGATTCAGTATGTCACACCCTGTTATTTTAATTTCTGAACAGGATCTTTAAAAGAATAAAAAGCTTAGCTTTTTTTTTTTAATTCTGTAAGAGTAGATATATTTCCCACCCACCCACCCCCCAATTTCCAGCACTTTCATTGAGTATGAATAACAAATGGCTGGTCTATGCAATAATAGATTTCTTCTAAAAATGTATACCTCAGAAGAGAGATACATTAAAACATTAATTGTAAACTACTTGGCTCTGCAGGATACATATTTTGTATTTTTCTGCAGTATTGAGGAGGGGGTGAGAGGAGTACAGTTGAGAAATGGCAAGCATCTAAGATTGGTGTAGAAAATTATATTTTCCTCAAATTCTTTTACCAAGAAGAATTTGCCTGTAATTATCTGTACCTGCTCACACATATATATTTCCTAAATTAGAAAGAGAAATTGACTGAGAAAGACATGTAACAATCTGTGTGAAAATCAGTGAGAATGGTATCTATAGAAATAGTTATTCATTCTATGCATATCTTCAAGTAATTGTCGACTATTTAATTATCAGGCCATTGTAAAGACTTGAAATAATAGTCAGTGCTAACCTACTGATTTTGCAGCTTGAATTTCAATGGAGTTCATCTGGCATCCGCTGGGCAGTTCAGTGATTTCTTGGGCAGCATGGGACCAGCACAGTTTGTGGGTCGCCAGACCTTGGCCACTACCTCCATGGGTAAGGAAAAAAAAAACTTCTCTCTCTCTCTGAATGAAAGTATTCATTTAGCCCTATCTATCTCTGTGGTGCTTTAGGAAGAATTGGTTAGATCAGGGCTGTCAAACTCAAGGCCCACTGGCCGAATCTGGCCCATGGGGTACTTAGATCTGGCCCACAGGGCTAGCCTGGAAATAGCAAAGGACTAGCCGGCGGTGCCTCTGCTAGTGAAAACGGGGCATGGGGGGCTGCACACCGGCTCCCCGTGCCTGATTTCTGGCCTGGATGGTCTCCTGCAGCACCCTGCTGGCCAAAATGGGGTGTGAGGGGGCTACACACACCTCCCCTGTGCCCCGTTTTGGCCAGCAGAGTGCTGCAAGAGGCTGTCCTTCCTGTTTGTCATCTGTCCCATCTCCTCCCCACCCCCCACGGGCAGCCCATAGAGGACAACTACAATGCTGATCCGCCTTTGAAGAAATCCAGTTTGATACCCCTGGGTTAGATGAATCCATATCACAAGGGGTCAGGGAAAACAACTGAGAGAGATATGGACAAAAATAGGAAAGGAATAAGTCCTAATTTCAATGATATATACTTTGCCTTAGCAGTTAAAAGAGTACAGAGATTAAAAGGTTTTCCAATGTTCATAAGGAAGAAACCAGCAGTTGAGATAGACAGATTAAGCTGAAGGAGAAGCAGATGAAAAGGTTTAAACTACATTCTCTTCAACTTAATGATCTGCAGCTGTAATCTTCTGTTCTCTGAATGCTGTAACATTCTGTTTATTAAAGCAGACTCATTTTCCTTCTAGTTTACTAACACTTCCTTATATAGGATAGCTAAGGGATCAAGGCCATCCTTTTTTCTGTCATCACAGGCCCTAATAATGGGCACTGCATTGCAATCAGAACCTTGCTCATATTGTGTATGGATGCAAGGTGGCATTACCTCTGCCACAATGCCAGGACCACCATCTTACAGATTTTGTCACTCTATCCACACCATGGATATCCCCAGGTGACCAACTTACATGGTAATCTATGATCAGATATTAGTTTAAAAAGAGCTATGCCCTACTTTGTAGAATTGTCTATTACCATACTTTACATAAGGGACACAGTGGCTCAATGGTTAAGACACTGAGCTTGTCGATCGAAAAGTTGGCAGTTCAGCGGTTCAAATCTGTAGTGCCGCATAGTGGAGTGAGCTCCCGTTACTTGTCCCAGCTTCTGCCAACCTAGCAGTTCGAAAGCACGTAAAAAATGCAAGTAGAAAAATAGGGACCACCTTTGGAGGGAAGGTAACAGCATTCCGTGTCACCTTTGGCGTTTAGTCATGCCAGCCACATGACCATGGAGACATCTTCGGACAGCACTGGCTCTTCGGTTTTGAAATGGAGATGAGCACCACCCCCTAGAGTCGGGAATGACTATCACATATGTGTGAGGGGAACCTTTACCTTTACCTATACTTTACATATTAAGAAATTTTGTTCTATAACAACATATGTATAATTATGCTATGAAGTTAGGAAGGGATGGAGGGAAGAAAGAAGGAAAGAAAAAAGAAAAATGAATCTTCTGCAGAACAATCCCTTTAGCAATTTTTTGTAACCCTGTCCCAGAAGTGGGCAAGGATTGCTTAAATTAGCTGAGGCAAGGAGGCAAAACAGAATGATTAGCAGTATTTCGGAGTATTTCTTGAGGAAAAGGTCAAAGAGAAACAGATGGTAAAAGTGCAAGCATGTTCTTCCTGGGCAGATGGTCTCTTTTCCCCTCTCTTTTCCTTGTTGATTCAGATAATATCTCTAATTGTAGCCATTTTCTCCCATCTTATTTGCACTATTGCCACTGTAGTATTGTTAGGGGAAATGTAGCAGTTAAGATGCTGCCCTGTACATCAAAACAACTCAGATCCAAGGCTTCACGTGACCATAGAGCTTACAGAGTGATTTTTTGAGCTAGTTCTTCTTTCACAGCCTAACCTACATCAAAAGGTTAATATTGAATAAAACCATGGGGAACTCTCCATGCAAACTGTCCTGGACTTCCCAAGAAAAGGTGATCAGTAAAATAAATAGCAATTGCATTTAAACTTATATACTATCCCATAGTGCTTTACAACACTCTGTTTACAAGGTAAGCATTAGATGCACATTGCCCCCAACAATCCGGGTCCTCATTTTACTGACCTCAGAAGGATGGAAAGCTGAGTCAACCTTGAGCCCCATCAGGATCAAACTCCAGGCTGTGGGCAGAGCTGCACCACCAGGGCTCCAATAAACAAACACATTTAAAAAAAAAATAGGATAGTTCACATGATATTTAAAAATATCATGTGACCTAATATTCACATGAATATTAGTTCCTCATGGTGTATTTAGTGCTAAACTGAATTGCCAAGGTGATGGGTGAACACAAAATATCTGGAAGGAAGTGTTTGGAAAAGCTATATCTAAATGTTGCAATTTCTCTTAGAAAGAATCAATGTTCAACAGACCCCCATATATTTAAAAGCCTTTTAGATGTAAAGAATCTGTTGAATATTGCTCTTTTCTATGGGATAGTGGGATTAAACGTTAAGACTATTTGGCTTTTAATTTACACTTTGCTTGATGCACAGGAGATGTGGAAATTGGATTGCAAGAACGAAATGGACAGCTGGAAGTGGATATTATTCAAGCCCGAGGATTGACTGCAAAGCCTGGCTCTAAAACCCTTCCAGGTACTATATTTCAGTCTCAGTTCTTTCTTCCTTTTAATAAACTGTTGTTTCCTCACTGTTGTTACAAAATGTTGGACAATAGCTACATCCCTGTTTTTGTTAGCAGAAGGTGCTTGATTCTAGAAAGGATAATCAGTAAGGATAGATGATTTTACAGCAATTTATTTCGCTGTACAGTGCAGCTAAATATTTTAGTGATAGCTGAATGATTTGAAGTCCTTCTATGAGAAATTTTCAGACATGGATAAACACTTTTAAAGATGATTAAAGTAAAATCCACACCTTTTGAAAAGTTGCAATCCATTCTAAGATCGTCCCAGAGACCCAAGAAAGTTTAGATTAAGGCTTGAAATCTTTTGCCAATATTCTACTTTAGCCAGTTAGTCTTTTCCTGCCAATCCCCACCCAAAAGTGCCCCTTCACCTTTCCTTACCATTGTGCATAGTATAACCTGGGGACTAATCTGAGAAGACATTGATTGGCCAACTTTGCCAGTGACAATTTACCCAAACAGTTGGGTAGGGATGTTAGCTGCTCTGCTAGCTAACGTGACTACATGAAGTAAGCAATCTATTAGGGCACTTCTTTGCTTGAAAAAGGGACGAGGAAAGGTATGAGTAAGGGAAGATCAAACCATTTTGTTATTTTCCTTATACAGTAGTTCCCACATTTTTGCATTTCTGTTTCAAGGCATTGAGAAGTATTATTGCAAGATGATGGACCTTGAGCAAGAAAAGTCCACCAACTGTTAAAATCTAGCAAGAACTGTTGGTTGGTATCATCTCATTGGTTAATTTTATTATAAAGTCTCCTATAGTGATTTTAAAAAAGGGACACGGTGGCTCAGTGGCTAAAATGCTGAGCTTGTCGATCGAAAGGTCGGCAGTTCAGCGGTTCGTATCCTTAGTGCCACGTAACGGAGTGAGCTCCCAGCTTCTGCCAATCTAGCAGTTCCAAAGCACATAAAAAATGCAAGTAGAAAAATAGGGACCACCTTTGGTGGGAAGGTAACACCATTCTGTACGCCTTTGATGTTTAGTCATGCCAGCCACATGACCACAGAGACGTCTTCGGACAGCACTGGCTCTTCAGGTTTGAAACGAAGCTTTGAAATTGAGATGAGCACTGCCCCCTAGAGTCGGGAATGACTAGCACATATGTGCGAGAGGAATCTTTACCTTTACCTATAGAGATAAAAAGGTTCATGCAAGATAGTGAGAAAAATTCTTCCAATCATTGCTAAGAATTGAGCTTTTCATTATGATTGTGAACTGTCACTGTAGCTGTAAACAAATCAAGCTATCACGATGGGAAATTAATTGCCCTCAATATAACACAATTTAATTACATATGAGTGGTCTTATGGATGTGTGATCCATAGCAGAAACACAGTACATAAAGATTAAGGTATATCTCTTTCCCCTCCCCGCTATGATTGGAACAAAAATTCATCCCTTTGTGCAATTAGTGTCCCTAGGAAGAAAACGCCCTTCTTACTTTTCTTAGTGGGAAACTTAATTTTCACAAGCTCTCTAGATATGAGAATGGAATTAAATTTTTGTTCCAATAAGAATGTGTGTGTGTGTGTGTAGGCTCCCCTCGCATATATGTGCTACTTGTTCCCGACTCTAGGGGGCGGTGCTCATCTCCGTTTCAAAGTCGAAGAGCCAGCGCTGTCCGAAGACGTCTCCATGGTCATGTGGCTAAAACGCCATATATAGATATATATATGTCGGGAACAAGCAACCAATGCAATTCACAAAGAGGATATTAATTCTACTGAATTGACTAATGTTGATCACTGTATGAGGAGTTGCATTTTGCACCAACTGCAACTTCCCAGTTACCTTCACAGGAGGTAGGCAGCTTAACTAACAGATGAATCATTGTTTTCTACACTTCCTGGTCCAGGAAAATTTGCAACTGACAGAACAGCCAAAGCTGGCTGAAAAGTTCCCTGGCCACAGATCCCAACTTGCTGCTCTAGAAGCTGGGAAACCCTCAGTTTGTACATCAACTTCTTCAGATAAACACAATTCCACCAAGAATAATAAATGAAGCAAATGGGGCCCCGAACACATTTGTATAAATAGTAATATTGTCTTAATGGGATTCAGTTTCAGTCTGCTCACCCTCTGCTCACCCTCCTCCAATCCTCACAACCTTCAGGCACTAGATCAGGGCAGCCATCAAAGCAAAGTACAAACTGAAAACTTTAAGTGAATCTCAGCTGAGTTTCTACAGAAATGGTTGGCCACTGCCTTTTTCTGAAATATATTTTGACTTTTCAGCCTAGCTTACAGCCTTGATATTTCCTTGAGATTCAAGTAATAGTCAGGTTTGATCTTGCACAGATCCATTAAGCCAAATATCACCCTTTGCTGAGACACACAAGTGAAGAAACCTTTTTTTTAAACTTCTTAAAAATAAAGCCAGTAACTATACAGTAAACTCTTTCCACAAAATAACTTCCTGCCTGTGAAAAAAGCCACATAAGCTTCATGGTGAATTTAAAAAAAAAAAAAGGCTTTGAACTTACCCTGAATCACATGCTTTTCTTCTAGCGGCATACATCAAGGCCTATCTCCTAGAAAATGGGGTTTGCATTGCAAAGAAGAAAACTAAAGTGGCTCGCAAATCTTTAGACCCCCTGTACAATCAAGTGCTACTTTTCCCAGAGAGCCCGCAAGGCAAAGTACTTCAGGTAAGGTGCAATTTGTTCACTTTATTTATATTCCCCCTTTCCATTGCTTTCAATGGAAGACACAATCTTCCATTTCAAGACACAATCAAAACTAGATAAAATAACATTATGATCAAAACTCTTGTGGGAAGAAATATCCATCTGGTTCAGTTCCAATCCGGGAGGAAGGCACTGGAAATAAAAATGGAGGCTGATTGGAAAAAGGGTCCATTTATTGATGAAGCAGAAACACCAAGCACCTGTGATTCTGGGCAGCTGACAAAATGGAATTGAGAATGAGGGGTTTTTATACCTTCTCTGGGCTTTGAGCTTCCTGTTCCTGTGCAAGAACATGTCTTCTATTGGTTGTTGTCAGATTCCTATGGGGTCATGTAGGGGTCGTAGCTGGCTCTGTAAGCAAAAGAGGAAATGCAAATCCTAGGTGTTTGTCTGAGCTCCCAGGTCTGGTTGAAGTTTGGACTGCTCTGAGGATGATGCAATTCTTATTGTGGCTTAATGGCTTTTGTCCTGTTTTGGCTCTTGGGTGAGGGTATATGCTTATGAATAGAGCTATCTAGATACTTGCCTTCTTTCAATAAGCTCTTTATCTCTTAAGTGCTGACATCTGCTGTGGGCTATTAAGAAAAAGTGGGGCCTGCTTTCTGCCTCTAAAAAGACATTTTTCTCCATTTCTCATTTAGAGAAATATAACATTCTGCCTTTTTTAATATTCCTCAAAATATTTCATTCTTCTAGGATGGGGTGTCGGTGCTGACTTTCTACACTCTTTAAATGAAATGAAATGAAAAGCATACCAATGGGGGGGAGGGGAAGGCAGGGAAGCAGGCACCGAAATCTAATTAAGGAGCAAGACAGTTTAACCCTCAAAAGCCCAATGCTTGCTGACAAAAAGTCATTAGAGTGCACACCAGGGTGCTGCACCAGTCCGAAAGTAACTCCAGTGTTTTTGCACAACATCAGCAAATCAGTTTCTTTCTGGCTCTTCTGCAGAGTGAAACTAATATTTTCCTGCTGCAATGTTGTGCCTTTTTGAAATGGTATAGCAGGGCGCTCTTCCCTTATCCTTCCTTCTGCCTGCAGAGGTCCTCTAAAGCAGAGGTCTCCAACCTTGGCAACTTGGGAACTTTAAGACTTGTGGACTTCAACTCTGGGAGTTGAAGTCCATAAGTCTTAAAGTTGCCAAGGTTGGAGACCTCTCTCCAAGGGGCCTCCAGGAGTTGCTAAAGTTGCCAAGGTTGGAGACCCCTCTCCAAGGGGTCTCAAGGAGATGCTATTCTGAGAGCTTTGCACTTCCACTTAATAATCCAGCTAAAAGAAGCAGAGGTAAATTTGATCAAAGTTTTCTGTTTTGCTTTCTCTTTGGGGGGGGGGTCTTATAATAATAAGATAATCAGAGGCTGCTTCTGTGGAAACAATGCTGAGGAGAAAAAAATTATTGCTACAGGATCCTGAGCAGCAACCTTAGAATTTGCCCAATGTTCTCAACATTTCAAGTCAATAGAATAAACACATAATCACAATTGGTTTATAAACAACTCTTGAGATTTTGGGAAGTGAAAATAGCCATGTCAAGTACTTGAAATCAAAGCTACATTTCCCTCCTTTTGCAGAGAATTTCTGAAACTATCTCTGGTATCCCTGATAAATATGCTCCCAGCTTCTTTGTTTTTTTTATTTGGTGTATATTGCTAACAATATGTAAGAGTGACGTTGGGCAAATTAAAGAAACATGAAAAAAATAAAAAATAAAACAAAGTGCATTCTAAAAAGGCATGGCCTTGGAATGTTAAAAACAAACAGGGTAATGAAATAGAAATAACAATAATAACAGAAGCAATTGAGACCAACCAACACAATCTCATTCCTTAAACTCTGTATGGATTCATCCAATGTTCTCATGCCATTTTCAGGGGGAAAGGCAGAGCTTTCAGAGCCTTGTGAAAAGAGACATCTTGATCTATTCCAGAGCTTGGGGAAAAAATAGGTTTACAAGAGTCATTCAAAGGCAGTTCAAACTTCTGGTGGGCTGCTATTGCATACAGCAGGCAATGTGATAGAAAATATGTATTTCCTAGGATCCGTTTGAAAATGTTACTGCAACCAGGAGTGGGCTTCAAAACTTTTAGCAAGGGGTTGCTGGGTGGGCGTGGCCATGGTGGGCATGGCCTAGTCGGTCTCCTGTACCATGGCAGGGGGTGGCCATTTTTGCCCTCCCCGGGCTCCAGAGGCTTTCCTTGAGCCTCTGGGAGGGCGAAAACGGCGTCCCCAGGTTCCGAAGTCCCTCTGGAAGCTGGAAATGGGCCCGTTTCCAACCTTCCCGAACTTCCGGTAGGCCCATTTTTCACCCTCCATGAGCCTCTGTGCGTGCCCATTTTGCATCCAAAACGGGCCGCTTGGGGACTCCTGGGAGTGGTGGGGTGGGGTGGGTGGGGCCAGCCAGGAGTGGGATTTGGGGGTTCTCTGAACTGCACAGAATCTTAGATATAGGTTCTCACAAACCCCTACAAACCCCCAGCAGCAAACCCCTGGATGGGACTCAAAGCATGCCTGATGGGTCTTACAGAATGGGCAGAAAGAGTGGAGAAAAGCGGTCCCTTAGACAACCATGCCCTATAGTATGAAGCCATGTATTGTACATAAGTCATATAACCAATACTTGAATTGCCTTCAGAAAAAAAAACTCAATGACCAGGGAAATCATATACTTCTCATAATCACCAGTCTTGCTGCAAAATTCTGGGGCCAGCTGGTCTTTCTAAACACCATCCAACCCAGCCCTATAGTTAAGGATGGTGGAGGTATAATCAAATCAGTAGCAGTTACTAGCCTGAAAACATATTGAATATTTATAGTCCTTCATTTATTTATAATATTTATGAATGACTCAGTCCCCAAAGATTTTAGATGGTATACAAAATGTAATGATCAAAAACATTGTTCAGTGTAGCTGATGAAAGGATAAATCTCTACCAACTGGCTTGAGTAATTCATATGCCTTTAAAAGGGGAGGGATATCATAGTGAACCATTCCCCGCTCCGTTCCTTTTTTCAACTGTACCCTAATTTGTTTTTCTGGTTGTAATAGAAAATGACAAAAAGTGGAAGGAACCATAGCTCAATATGTAGTCACTTTCATGCAGGAGGTCTTCAATATGTTATAATTAGAGAAGAAATAGGTCAGATAGCAGGAGATAGTAAGACCCCAGCTAGCTATTGTAAGCAAGAGTAAACAATATTGGGAGGATCAAATAATATAATGTAGATTAAAAGAGATGTCTATATTCCTATAGCTGGGCTGTTAGAAACTGTCTGCCCTAATGCTATGTTGAAAGTAGAAATGCAGGAGACAAACCAATAGGTTTTTCCATCTTGACAATACTGGAAATACCTGGTGTCAACCTCCTCTGATATCATATTTCCCCTCAAGTTTCTCCTTTTGATGTTGATTAGATCACAGTGTGTGACAATACTTTGTCAAAAGAAAAAAAAAATCCCATGTTAAAAATCTCTCAGCATCCATCATTAGTGTTCCTGGATCCAACTCAATCCCCATCCTTTTTGTTCCCAAGGTGATCGTCTGGGGAAACTACGGGCGCATGGAACGCAAGCACTTCATGGGTGTTGCTCGGGTCCTCTTGGAAGAACTGGATTTGTCCACTCTGGCAGTTGGTTGGTATAAGCTTTTCCCAACCTCTTCAATGGTGGATCCTACTACTGCTCCCCTCCTGCGCCAGTCCTCACAGCTTTCCCTGGAGAGTACAGTAGGACCTTGTTGTGACAGATCTTAATGAGCAAGGAAGTACTAAGGGTACTGATTCTATTTTTAAGATCATGATCTCAAGGTTTTGTTTGCCTGAATGCTGTCCTCAAGTGCATTGCATCTTCAATCAGTCCCTGGGGGAGTCTGAAGGTGAGGATAGCCAAGTAACCTTGATGAAATCAAAATGGAGGCCACTGACCTTTCTCCATCCAAGTAGGAGGAGCTGTGGGGCACAAGTCCTAATTATGAAATGATGCTGATAAGACACACTTTTCGGTTTTTCATTTATTCACTGTCATCTACACATCTTCAGATCAATGTAACATCTTGAAATGTTGCAACCATTTATTTTCATTGGGGAAGATGTTCTTTTTTAATACTATTTTACAAATTTGAAAATAAAATGAACTTTGGCTATTCTTAATTATTCAAAGCAAACATCTGACCTAAATAACAGCAGTTTCAGGGAAACTTTACGGGGTTTGTAAATGTTCTTTTTCCTTTTAAAGTGGGGAAGAGGGAGAAAGAACTGCAACTATTTCTTAGAGCAAGTTGCATTTAAGGTACAAGTACCATTGCTGTATTTTTTTAATGCTGTGCCAAATTACCAGCAGTGTCTTCTACTACTATAGGACTTAGGTCAACAATACTGCTGAAGAATTATTTTGTGGGAAGAACTAGAAAAGATTCTAGGTCACTCAATTGCAACACAGAACATAGCAAACCACTTAACTGGAACACTGCGCAAAAATTACAAATTGGAAAATTTGTAGAGATTAGATTTATTATTGGATATGAACATTGTCAGTACAGAAAGACACACACCATACCTTACCTCAGCTTTTGCTGTGCTTCTTCTCATTGTGTCTTCTTATTTCCATATTCTAGCCATGCTTTGGATTTTTAGTGCATATCTTTTGATGTAGAATAGGGTTTTGTTTCAAACACAATAATTTATTCCACTATTGCAAGTAAAATTACAATATAAAGGTTTGCTTTATTTAAGGGGAAGATACAAGAAGATGACATTCCATTTATCATCTGAGAGACATGTGCAAAGGGTTTTGGGAAGCTACATTTAACAGAAGGAAATTTTATTTGATCTACCAGTGTTGAGAGGCAACCTGGGGAAAAGAGAGAAAGAGCTGGATTTTTCCAAGTTCAGTTGCAGGAAGTAGTAAAGGCATTTTCACAAGTGACTCTAAAAGCATCATGAGGTCTTTGAAATTATTTGTGTTCATATGTGAATTATTATAATGCACTTTTGAACTAATGAGCGCAGGGAATAATTAAAATTGGCATTTTGGCTTTCATGTGGCTTTGTATGCTTGTACATATAGCTAATCTATGAGTGAACATGCCCTACTTGTCTTATATTCTTGATTCCTCCATGCATCATTATACAATTGTACATGTTCCAGAAGCAGCAAATAAGAATATGGCTTCTACTGTGCTAGATATACTGATCTACATCTAGCATAAAGAGAACGTTTATTTTTTAGCAGAGTTAGCTTTGAATCAACAGAAGAGGTGGGGCTATCACCATTTGCAGATGGAATAATGACTTTCTAACAAGTCACTTGTGAAAATGCTCTAGTTGTTGCAGATTACCTTTGGGAGAATTTAAAACTATAAGAATAATAATAATGTAAATATTTTAAATTAGCCAATAAAAAGGTTAGCTATATATACACATATATAATATACAGCTAGACAACAAATATCAACAGTTGGTGGTGGATAATTTAATCACTATCCTAGATTACCTGGACATTGTTCTAAATGAAGGCAATAGAATTGTCTCTCCAATCTGGTCCTCACCAAATGTTTAGATTACATGGCCCTAAATTCCCAGCCAGCATGATGGATGTCCATATTTGGCTGGGAATTCTGGGATTTATACCCCAACACATCTAGAAGGTAACATTCATAAGACTGCATTAGAGACAGTTGTTTTAAATGGTGTTTCATGCCAGGATTAGAAATTCTATCTAGATGTTATTATATATTCCTTTTCGTTTCTACTCTAATGATTGCTATGTTTTTCTGTTAGAATGGCAACAGTTGTCTTCATTTCACGATTCAAGATTCCAAACTATGTATTAATATTTTGGAGCCATCTGAAAATGGCTTCCTAACCTGTTATTACAGAAGAAAGTAGTAATCAGGGGAAACACAAAAAAAGCATGGCTAAAGCATGACTATAGGGATACCCATAGAATGAAATCTAGACAGTTGTATGTTGTATGTAGCATTTTAATGGTTTGTAAAATAACAATCAAATGTTGATCGCAAAATCAATAAGCCTAGTATGAACTCTGCTAGGAATAATCTAATATAGGTAATAGAATACAAGAATGATGTTAATTTTAAGCATTTACAATCATAAAACCTCCAGAGTTTCAGTCTGATTGTCTAAAATTGTTTTATTTATGTGCTTTCCAGAGAATTTCTTTCAACATTCATATCAGAGAATTTCTGTGTATAGACTGAAGGAAGGTAGTTGCAGTATAGACACTGGTCAAAGTATGTTATGACTCTAAGTTTATTTTTAAAAACCTTATACTTCAAGTTGGTATATATTCATATTTATGTATAGTAATTATTAGGCAATATTGTACAATATCTGTATGAATTAGAATAGTTTAGGTTAAATTTAATAGTTGGTAGCCAATCTAACAATCTTGATGTTTAGAAGAACTATAGGAAACTGATGCATTTCAGGATTGGGAACTGAAGGGCAGATGTTCATGTTTTATAAATTCAAAAGATGTTTTGGTTATTTAAACTTATAAATCTGATCGTATTTTGTATATGTTCTGCAATCAGCTGCCAATTTTTACTGCAAATTTAAATATCTTTTATTCTTATATTCCCTGGATAATTATCAACAAAATAAAAAAGGCAACAAAAACTGCATCCAAAAAAACCCCAAGGATTCCACTAAGAGATTCTATTAAATATAGCAAAATAGAATTGAACATTAACACGATTAAAATTCACTTCTTAATAGATTAAAGCCCTGGGAGCATAAAAAAGAGTTTTGCGTGCCTAGGGCAAAAACCATTGATAAAGTTGAGTGGGACAAAGATGATGAAGTTTTCAGTAAGTTCTCATCCTCTGAGAAATTCTGCCTAAAGCTATCTTGACTGAGAAGTATACATTATGGCGTATGATTTAATATATGTAAATGTACACTCTGCATTTGGAAATAGACAATGAAATATAAAGTTAACATACATTTGTGGTTTAAATATTTATTTACTGTAATATACAGCTATCTGACTTGGAAGGTTGCAAACAATAATTAATATGCAAACTTGTACAGGAAAGTACCAAAAGTAGTAGAATACCAGCTGCATTGAAATATTTCTGTTAATTCAAGCTCATATCAGTATGGGCTTTACGATCAGGTTAAAAGCTGGTTCCAAGCCTGTTGAATAAATCACTGTTGTAAAATGAGATATAAATTGCTATTTGATCCAGAATGATTTCAAATACATTATTAAACCATATGCATAATGCACATAGTGATTGTTTTTAAATGAAGAATTGGAAATTGATTTATTGAAATTCAGGTTTTATGTCCTTTGTAAGCATGCAATTCCATTAATCGTTCTGTATACAAATTATTTATAAATTAACTGAAATTTGTTGAAATAGCAGGCAAGGTTACTAACTCCTCTATAAAGCTACATCAGTGATAGTATTAAATAAAAATGGTGCAAGAGGGTAAACAACTGTTATAGTGCTCCTCCAATTCATTTTATGTGCCCTGCATCTCATTCATGCTCAGGGCAGGAGAAAAAAGAGTCACAAGTTATAGCTTCCACATCTTGGCCGGGTTCTCTGCATCCTCTAAAAGAGAAACCAGCTGTACACCTGGATGGGGCAGAATTTACTAATCTTATATCAAGGTAACAGGAAGGGTAAAAAATATCAAGATGGCAGCCCTGATCACCCAATAAAGTCCTAACATGAAGTCCTGGTGCATGTACTACAAGTCAAACAGAGGGAAGGAGTACTTGTAACCTTTTAAATTTATGGAAATTATTTAGCCTCTTCTCATTCCTAGCATTCAGTCCAAAAGACTTCCCCTGAAGATGGATCTATTATGGGAGTGATATTATTAATAATTATTGACAAAACTGTGTCATCAGAGGGAATTAGCAACGCTCATAGTTGCAAGAGTCCAGCAGTTATCATAAATAGTAAGGAAGGTATATAGATTTGATCTGAAAACAACCACTTCCAACCCCTACATACATGCAAATATACCTACCTACAAAATTTTCTTGTTTTTTTGGCACCGGAATTAAGTTATATTTTAGGTGCAGTTTTTCTTCACCTGTATACATCTGATAAAAGATGAGCCATACCAGATGCAAATTTATTTATTTTTTAAACAGCCATAGATGGTGTAGAAATTTGCAAGAATAAAGATGGGATTTCTCTTCCATCTTCCTAACTGTAGAAAAGGAGAAACTAAGATTTGTTAAGAATGAAAAGATCTGTCTGTAATAGTTTTCATGGCACAGGATGTACCCAGATTCAGAATTGAAATCTGTTTTTGAAACAGGAAAGTGAATCTGGGTTTCCAGTGCCTGAGAGTACCTGATTATTCTTTCTCGATAAGTAGAATTATTTTTATAATTTCTAGCTCTGTGATGAGAGTTCCGAAGAAAAAGAAAAGAATAAATCACGAATGGTTTTATTGTATATATAACACCTTTTTAATGTTTCTAATACTGGATCTCTTATAAATGTACTGTTTAAAAAGTAGTCATAAATTAATGTATAGAAGGAAATTCTGTAGATGTTGAGGCAGTAAGAATCTCACTGTAAGCATGTATAGTAGAAACCATCTTAGAGAGCAGGTCAACTTTTTAATGAAATAAATTCTAAGTTTATTACAGGCTGTTTAACACTGGAGAAATATGTTCTTTAAAAACAAAAAATGCTGTATTTTTTTTTACAGAGGCTATATAATTTAATCTTTTTTTAAAACAGAAAATGTTTTAAGCTCTTGGTATATGTAATATTGTTTTTCTTGTCCATAGAAACATTTTTTAAACCTACTAGAAATAAATGGGTTACAGGATCATAGTAACTGGTTTGTCCCACTGAATTAAAACAGAACTTCAGCACAACTAATAAGTTAACCTTGAAAGACTTTATCGATTTAGCATTAGATACAGTATATTATAATTTAAACATTTTAGTCTGGAAATACAGAAATATGTAAATAGATACCAGGAAATCTTCCTGTAGAAATTTCACTTGAAATTATAATTTAATATTATTAATATTGTGTAAGAATATTTGCAATTCTTTATTAAATCACTGCTAACAGTCTTAAGAACCAAGCCTTTCTTGAAGGAATTGATGTAATTTGAAGCTGAGGGGGAAAAAAGAGATCTACTTTGCTAGTTGTCCTAATCCTATATCCCTATAAACAAAATAAAAGAGTCTTTTTGATAATAAGTTTAAATAGTCTTACAAGCAATAATATATTTTTTTTGGTGTGTATTGATTGTGATGTGGAGATGGCAGTACATGGATATAATCTACAATGACAGACTTAATTCTTTGGAATTTCAGCTCTGGAATAGCCATATTAATCATGGTCCTTTAAATGTATGTTTTAGTAATGCTCTGCCAATGGTTTAATTCTCAATTCACTTGTGCAAGCAAATCCTTTCACTGACCATCCCATTTCTGTAAGTTGACTTTCATGATACAGGGTTCAATATAAAATTTACAGATGTGTCAGATTTTCTAATTTTGGGATCATTTAACATTTGTCATTGTTATTCCAGGCTTTGTCACTGCCAAAATGTAAACTCTGAATTTCATAGTAGCACTGCCCCCTCTAATGGCCTCTTTGGCAAATGTTCCTCACGGAAAGAAATGAGTTGTAGTGCATTATTTTTCCTGGGCTATATTCTAATATTTCTAAGATGACACCAAAGCAGAGAAATACATGCACCTTTATAAACTGCAAGGATGAATCAAATGGCCAAACCTGCAAAAATATATTGTTTGTGTGTCTTTTCACAAAATTGCAAATGATTTCTGGGAGCTTTTACCTAAGGCTTCTGCCAGAGGACAGCTGTAGAATCTACTTTGTTAAATAGCATCCAAAAAACCATCAGCCCAATTTACAAAATAAATATTATTCTGCTCCATCCAGTGCCAAACAAAAGTGCTGAAATGCAATGAGAAGGGGGGGGGAAATGAGCAGGCAAAATCCCATTGAAAATATATTTTACTTTCTTGTGCTAAAATTTAGCTCAGGTAGCCCTTTTTTTCTGGCAATCTGATGGAAAATTAAATACCTTTGTGCTGATTAATTTAATTGCCAGCTACATTTAGCGTGCCAAATTTAAAATAGCTGTCAGGGAACAATTCCTCTGGGCCAAATCTTACTTCCATCTGCCAAACCCAGAGCCCAAACACAAAGGTACAGTATTTTCCCTAGAGAAGTCCACCACTCTAATGCCAAGGCCTTCCCTGAAAAGTCACATTATGTGTACTGGTGTTTCTCAACCTTGGCTACTTTAAGATGTGTAAACTTCAACTCCTTCAATTCCCAAATCGGCATGACTACAGTAGTTAAATCATGAAATTCATCATGATAAAGTGATGGCTGCCAACATAGGAAGCTCTAAAAGAAGGTTATATATATTCAAAGAATATGAAACTAGTTACAATATCTGCTAGCCTACTTCTAGAGACTAGCTGCTAAGAAACCAGTGTAAGGGGGGGGGTCAAATATTGTTTTCGGATTGCATCTTTGACACAATGGGAAACAATATAAAAGAGTCCTTTTTTATAAGCATCATGGTGCAATGAATGAGTGGCATGATGGCCTAGTTGTAAAGATGTTTGCCTCCCACTCAGAAGGTTGAGAGTTCAATAGCCAAGGGCTCTAAAATAATAACTCATATAGGTAAGGGCCTTTTGTGAGGGTTGATTAAGTCCAGCCTGTTCTGCCCTGTACACAATAACTCTAGGTGTGAAGATAGTCAAAATATACTGTGTAAAAGTATGGAAAAAATGAGATCTTGGCAGTCATTTAGTCCCTATCTCCCTGGTTAAGGTAGGATATCTCATTTCCATTGCCATGCTTAGCTGGTATTAGAATTTAATAACCAGCACATGAGAATTCCAGCAGTTTCAGTAAATAAATAGGTTTGTTTTGTTTTATTGCCAATTTGCAACTGCAGCACACAGCACAAGCTCTCCCCCAAAAGACCAGGGCGCTAACTTCTACTAATGAATACTATTAAAGTTTTACTAAGGTGCATGAATTTCCCTGGTTGGAATTTTCTGTGGCAGATTGTCCTGCCCACAGTCGCAATGCTGTACATGTGGCAAAGTGTGATTTCACACATAGTGTCTGGCACCTTCATGTTGGATACTGTCTTTTGTCTTTAAGGGAAGATTCTGGTATACTGTTTTCTTCGTTAATTTTATCTGGAAAATACACAATGGTTGGGTAATTTAAAATTAAGTGTTAAGATAAAGAAATTGTTGAAAATAATAATAATAAAATAATAAAAAATCTTCCTTCATTTTTTAAAAAAAAAACCCGAATCTGTGGCTTTTTATTGATTGCATGCTTTTTTTTACCACATTGCATTGGGATTAAGAACACACTTTCCTTCTTGGGGAAAGAAATGAAGTAGAGAGAACATGCCCAATTTGCATCAAACTACCAAACTACAGTTTGTAGAATGTAGTTTGCAGTGCTGACATAAGGAAGAGAAGAGGACGCTTGACTCTTCACCTACTTATTTTCCCTGAAGATATTATCCCCTAAGAGATGGGATGGGAGAGGGGACATTCCTGTGAGCTGAAGTAGTAGATATGGGGAGAGTGACTTGGAAGATGGCCAATGAGACGCAGAGAATTGGGGAACGGAAAGGGAGCGTTTGGGATTAGAAGGTCAGTGCTGACTACGATGGAGTCGGGGACAGATTGTTGTGCTCAATAAATGAAAGATTTCATCAAAGACTATTTGTTTGGAAATGCAATTTATTTGAGACGACATCGTAACCTGACAGGTTCACTGCTTATGAGGATTTGAAATATGTTCACTTATTCCTGATTCCCTTTAGATTTAACTGTTGTAAAAAGTATTTTTTGTATTGTAAATGCAAGTGTTGTACAATATCATTATAACCTTGGTATTAAGTCTGTCCAAAAAGACTTCTAACCCAGACTGTTATTGCTGCCATAACCCTAGACATTTTTCAGGTTTAAAAGACATGTTCTCTTCAACATTTGTTGGAGGGAAGTGGGAGAAGGAACTCTAATATATAAAACACAATAAGTATTGGAATTAGGTGAGATATTAGATGAGATCAATTCAGAGAATCAACATAATTGAATGGGATGCTCAGGTTTTTCCTGGAAACTTTTTAATGGCTTGCAATATTTTCATAAATGTTATGTAATATATTGAGTAAGTAACATATACATGTTCATAAACAAATAAGATGCACAAATGAAGGAGAATATACATGTCCCAGGACAATGTTGCAGGATCCAATCTGGAGGTTTTGTCTTCCGAGGTTTTGGACAGATGTTTTGGACCAGAGGTTTTGTCTTCTGAGCCTTCAGACTCATATTGGAGCTCATCTTCAGGGAACTTAAAAGTTTCTTGAAGATGGATTTTAGCACAAGTACTAAAATTCAGATGACAAAACTTCTAGTCCCGGTAACCAACCCAGATTAGATACTGCAAATAAGATGTACATTGCATATTGGTTTCTGGAAATGTATCATTTCATAATCATCTTCACAAGCAACCAACCCAATAACCAAACATTTGCATCCCCTGGGAAACAGCAAGGAAAAAAAATTTAGATAATTTTTATTGCAAAACCCTTCAGAAATGTGGATTTAAATGTGAAAAATGTGCAGAATGGCCATTGATAAAAACTCTGGAAGCTAAAGTCCATTTACGAAGACAATGGTCTGTTAAAAGGGAGACCACACTTGAAATTCTAAAAATGGGTCTGTAGTTCAGGGGGGCAGGGGCGGAGCTGATATTTTTAGCATTTCTTCTAAACATGATGTGGCCCAGAATTCCTCCTTGACATGCATAATGCCCAGAGGTGGGATTCACCAGGTTCTTACCAGTTCTGGAGAACTGGTATCAGAAATTTTGAGTAGTTTGGAGAACTGGTAAATATCACTGGCCCCGCCCCCATCTATTCTCTGCCTCCCGAGCCCCAGCTGATGGGAAGAAATTGAGATTTTGTAGTAATCTTCCCCTGGAGTGGGAGGAAATGGAAATGTTACAGTATCCTTCTCCTGCCACGCCCACCAAGCCTTGCCCAACAAGCCAAGCCATGCCCACCAAGCCACACCCACAGAACCGGTAGTAAAAAAATTTGAATCCCACCACTGATAATGCCATAGTAAAGAGGTTATTGATAAGCCACATAGGCTGATTACATATCACTAGATCAACAAATCTAGAAAGTCTATCAAGTTGGACAAAACTGAATATATAATAGAAATATTGGTAGGTGAATGCATGGGCTTTATCTGAAGTCAATTACAGCCACATCCAAAGGTCTTACTCAGATTAATATACATTCCTTTGATCACAGCAATGGAAGATGGAATGAAAGAAATGAGAGGATGAAATAAAAACCAGAAAGAATAGCAAAGTAAGAAATGATGCTAAGTTTGCTCCATTCTTGTTAATCAAAAGTTTAACAAATGAATGTAAGAGAGCCACTATAAAGTCCCCCACTCCAGTTTCCAAAGGCAACATCAATTTCTGACAGCTGCTAGGCAACTAGTGGCCTTAGCATCAATATCACCTAGCAACATCAGCATGGTAATGGCAACAAACAACAAATGGTTGTTTTGCTTGATGGTTTGCCAGATTCTATAGGGCCAGCAGTCACACTGCTTTCTGGAAGTAACACAGCCTACTGGAAGCCCCACTTAGAAATTCCATCAGTTCTGAAGAGACTGCAAAAAGACAACAGTGTAAAGCGGGGAACCGTCAGTGGAATAGCAAGCAGGCTTTGTGTCACAGAACCTGTTGCTGCATCACTATCAGAGGTGGGTTTCAGCAGGTTCTGACCAGTTCTGGAGAACTGGTAGCGGAAATTTTGAGTAGTTTGGAGAACCAGTAAATACCACCTCTGACTGGCCCCCGCCCCCATCTATTCTCTGCCTCCCGAGTCCCAGCTGATCGGGACATGGGAATTTTGCAGTAACCTTCCCCTGGAGTGGGAAGGGAATGGAGATTTTACAGTATCCTTCCCCTGCTACTCCCACCAAGCCATGCCCACAGAACCGGTAGTAAAAAAATTTGAATCCCACCACTGATCACTGTGGTTATACACAAGTATATGATCCACAAAATAATCCTTCAGAAAAATAATCGGGATCCAGATTCTGCCTCCTGAAGATTCCTTTTAGCTACAGTTCATTAGATATCTGTAACCTTTCTGGATAACAAAGACTTGTTTAGATAGTTGAGAACATGTCCTGAAAGCTCTCACAAAAATGGCTGCCAAAGGACTTTTTCAGTTTGCAAAATGACTGCTATAGGAAACCTAGCCATTTGCAACTTCTTCTAACCTACCATTTTAGAATGTTTTCACTATCCTTGCTTCCTTTTTTCTACTTCAGGACAGTGTCTACCAATCTTTTTTATTTTCTCGGAAAGTTTCCAGAAGCATTCTTAGAAATTAGTGCCAGAGGCTATTGTTGTTTGCCAGTATCTCTTTTTTTTTTTTTAAATTTGATTTGATTTAATTTAATTTGATTTATATGCCGCCCTTCTCCGAAGACTCAGGGCGGCTTAATTTTTTTTAACAAATTGATTTGAATGTAGGAAGCTAAGTGAGACAGGGAGCCCAAGGGAAATGACTGGAGTCATCAAGATAAGTCAAACCATGGTTTACAGCGAGTGGGTTCAGACTGATTCACACAAGGTCCAAACTAAACAAAGTACATTATGTCACAGTACAGTTTTAAACGGTTTTATGAGCTATCCACCCACTAATTGTATCAACTGCAGATGTAACTAGCTTTCCCTAAACCATTTCAAGTCATTGCTTAAAAAAAATGAATACCAGATGGGCCAATTCTGATTGGAGTGGAATGGAATGGAATGGAATTGAATAGAATAGAATAGAATAGAATAGAATAGAATAGAATAGAATAGAATGGAATGGAATGGAATGGAATGGAATAGAATAGAATAAATAGAATAGAATAGAATAGAATAGAATAGAATAGAATAGAATAGAATAGAATAGAATAGATTTTTTTATTGGCTAAGTGTGATTGAACACAAAAGGAATTTGTCTTTGGTGTACACGCTCTCAATGTACATAAAAGAAGAGATATGTTCATCAAGAATCATAAAGTACAAGAATTAATGATAGTCATAGGGTACAAATAAGAATAATATAGAACTACTTGACACCTATATCCAGTTTGATGATGGACAATGGTATAGCCCTGCAAGATTTTTTTTCCGGACAAGTCTTTGCTGACTTCTGGCCAGATGCTTCTTTTGTTATGGAGATTAGGATAATTCAAAATGAAGATGCACTTCCTGACCATATCCCTAAAAGTTTAGTTTCAATCCTGCCTTTCGTCTTGTTCTTCACAATTTCCTGGTGGAACACAACTTTTTCTTTTTTTTGAAAGAGAGGAATAACCCATAAGGACATTTGAGTAACTCTGATTTTCCTTTGTTACCCTGTTAGAATTTTGCCTTCTTCAATCACCACTGACAAACTTCATATTTTTTAAGGGAAACAGAGGAAAACGTAAGTCTTTTTTTGTTATTTGTAACGTCCTTTGCTAATGCCAGGCTTTTGCTTTCCTGGCACCAGTTCTGCAGTGATAGGCTACCGAAAGTTCCTTTGTGAACTTATTGTCTTTCCCTTACCTATGTACAGGGGTGGGCAGCTGGGGGTTTGCAGGGATTCGGGAGAACCTCTAGCTAAAATTCTGTGCAGTTCGGAGAACCCACAAATCCCACTCCTGGCTGGCCTTGCCCACCCCACCCAGTCCCTCCCAGGAGTCCCCACATGACCCATTTTGGATGCAGGTAAGTGCAGGGCGTGCACGGACCCTCAGAGTGGGCGAAAAACGGGCCTATCAGAAATTCAGGAAGGCCAGAAATGGGCCCGTTTTTGGCCTTCAGAGGGCTTCTGGAGCCTGGGGAGGCCATTTTTGCCCTCCCAGAGGCTGGAGAAAAGTCTATGGAGCCCGGCGAGGGTAAGAACAGATACACCCCTGCCATGGTACAGGAGGCCAACTAGGCCATGCCCACCAAGGCCACGCCCACCCAGCAACCAGGCAGAGAACCCCTTGCTAAAATTTTTGAGGCCCACCCCTGCCTATGTGTCCTTCCTTGTTTACCAGTCTTCATTAAGCTTGCAACCATGAAAAGCAGTGCAATCTTTGTTTCTGGATGCAAAATCCAAGGTGCTGCTATATTTAGCATGTCAACAACACACCAGCTCATTCTGCTTAAGTGTACTGAAGTGGAAGATTTTAAAAATAAGGAGTGGATG